TTGTTTCGCAAACCACCACATTAGCGTGCCAAAAGAACATAAATGTTCAAGATGGTGTTATTTGTCTAATACAACACTGCCGGTTTTTCATCAAACTCCAACTTCTCTCTTCGTAGAACCTCGGCATTGTTATTATGATGTTGTTATTCTTCTGCCAACGAGGTTGTTAGGTGGAGAATTTTATTAGTGGCCTGACGTTTCGACGAGATCGTCTTCCTCAAAGGCCCAGTCCACCACCGCAAGAGCAGAACAGCGCCACTCCGGGTTAGTTATGGTTAGTAACTAAGAATAACAACATCATAATAACATCAATGCCGAGGTTCTACGAAGAGAGAAGTTGGAGTTTGATGAAAAACCGGCAGTGTTGTATTAGACAAATAACACCATCTTGAACATTTATATTCTTTTGGCACGCTAATGCTGTCGTTTGCGGAAACAAAGTTATCGTCCAGCAATAACAATTACTAAATAATAATGTCAAGGGTGAACTAGACTTTAGTGGTAATCGCCCGGATTTTATGGCACCACAAATGGGCTCGAAATGTGACTATTGTCAACACTAACCTCAGCAGTTTTGGCCATTGAAAGAAGACGGGAGAGATCAGCAGGCGAAAGAGTCTTTCCTCGACGTGCTGACAGCAAGGTGGGAATTACACTGCGCTGAAAAATGGTAAACACCTCTCAAAATATGCACCGCAAAAGATTTCAAGAGATCGACTTCCCATCATCAAGAAGCACTTGCAACTTTCAGTGGAAGAGAAATGGATACCTTAAGAAGAAAAGAGGACGAAGGAAGACGAAAAAAATTGGCAGAGCTCTTAGTGAGAAAAAAAGATCGTTAAAACTACGACAATATACCGACAATATACCTGGAGTTGCGGAGCGTCGATGGAGCAAGCTTTAGCCACATGCTCAATAGAAACGAGAGAAAAATTAGGAATTCGGAAGAGAAATTCGGCAGCAATATTCTCAAGTGGGCTGAAACGTAATCTTGTCAACATTGTAAGAAGCTCTTCCAAGATGAATATAAGTTCTGAGCACTGGAAGAAAAAGCGGTTCTGCTGCACTATAGCGCAGTTTTCCTATGAGTGGCTTGCAGTGAAGAGAGCTTGTGTCTGCTGCACCGCCAAATAACGAATACCACAAGAACTCGAACAGCTGCGTCGTACTTGTGGTCTCGTTGTGTCACCCATTGTTGAGGAAACGGTGAAAAAAGTGAGCAGGAAAGAGAACCGAATGAATCTTTGAAAGAAACATACTTAGTAGAACTCTGTGCTACCCGAATCAAACCGCGCTCATTGATGATCAGACAAGATGGAAGACGAGCAGCTCGAGATGAAAGTGGCACAAATCCTAACGGTCGCCATTCACACGCGCCTTTCACCAATGAAAACTCCAATCGAAGAGCGCTCAGCTGTAACAGCATGATCCACTTTACAAAGCAGTGATGGCTCCGACGCTCAAAATATCGTAAAACCTACACCAAAATGCACTGCACTTCGCACTTCAGACTGCTTTGAGACAGCGAAAAGAACGTTGTCGGTATAGTGTATCATCCATGTATCAGGAGGTACCTAGTTCCATCTATTAGTGAGCAGTAAATATGAATGTGGGGCATTCAGAAAGTGAATATTTTTTGGTCCAAATGATAGAAAGTTAGAAGGAATATACAGAAAATGAGAAAAAATGTTACCCACTTTAAAGCGCTTTTTAGGCACACCGGCAAGCGACGATAAATCAGAGTGCAGCTCGACAAAGCTTCCACCCGTATCCAAAACTGTGATGCCCTCTGTGGAAAGATTGAGATGCGATGTCGGAGGCTCCACCTTAACGATTTTCTTCAATATTATAGACCAGCACCGGGAATAGAACTTAATGCAATGGGACTACCTTCTTAAATTCTGATGGGATACACGCTGTCAGCACCTCCGTTACGCTGCGACTACCATCTTCAAGGGGAATTATCCATTGTGCTCCTGTGAAGCTTGTAAGCTATAAATCAATAAATCCTTCGGCTTATTTTGAAATATTCCAAAAGGTAACAATTTGATCTAATAGCAACAAACAAAACCACGTACAAGAACATCGCTGTTTTCTTCACTCTGCAAGACTTCCACTTCGTGTATGCTTTGCGGAGCAGATAGCTCTGCCACGCATTTTCGACTGCTCAAATCCACCAAAAGGATGGTCCCAGCCTTAAATTTGAAAATGAAGCAACAATCTAATGTTTCAACAAATATGAACCCATGCATCGCAAGATGTAGAAATTAGCCACTTCTTGTCCAGAAATTTTTTCTCAGGAGTGGGGGTGGGGGAGCTGTCGAGGCTGCTGATGACGAATAGGCACACATTCCCAGCGCTAGCGCCAAACTGGCGCCGCCATGGTTGCTATCACTAAATTCGATGAAAGCTTGCTTATTGGAATGATTCAGAGCCTTACCATTAATCCCAAAGAATACACTTGAAACCTCTCCCCTCTCCAATCTTAAGCATGCGAGCAATCTGAACTGCGACAAGGGGCAGACAAGCAGAAAAAAGGCGCCAAGCAGTGCTTCCGCGAAGGGTGAACATCGCATTCGGGATCAGAGCGCTAACAAACTACAACTACAGACTCGAGAATTTCTTCCGTTTCCCAACTTCTTGTTTACTTTCGAATCGCTGCCGGTCACTGGTGTTCAAAGTTCGGGTACTCACTTGCGTATCTCTTTATTGCACACCAAGTTCCTTTGAGTTACCGGCAGCGCTGAAGGGACAGCTGGTACCATTCCTATTACAAATCTCGTCGAAGGTAAGGAGGAGAGGTAAAAGGATAAAGGATAAAGCATTTGCCGTTGATCAATCCCTTTTTGGGATGCGGCACGCATTCTACTTCCATTTGTACATTCGTAGTGGCGTTTGAATGCGATGTGGCCTATACAATGACTTGCGGGGGCCAGCCGATGTACAAGTCAGTGTTTTTTATCCTCCCAGACAAGTCTGGTACCAATTAACCGACCCCGGAGGGATGGAAGGCTTGGTTGGCCCGGGCGACTCACGACCCAGGATTTGATCCCCGGACCGCTCGCGTGGTAAGCGTGCCACTTGCCACTACACCACTTCCGCCCAAGAGGAGAGGTAGGTTTGAAAATGTGCTGTATAGTAAACCATTTCATTCAGACTGCAGCAATCCTCCGCGAAGTAATTCTTTATACGGCAATACATAGGTTGCTTTGGTATTGACGCGCAATTTTACGCCGCCAACTACTTCGAAAAGTTTAATGGTTGTATATTCCTCTAGATGATAAATCTCATTTCAAGTCACGGACGTGTGGTTCTCCACCTTGGGGTCACCTTCAGAAGAGAAAAAATACAAATGTTCGTCAAATAAATCAAAAATTTGCAGGATTCTAGACGCTATATTCGAAAACTGTCAATTCTGCCATTCACACAAAACAGTACATCACCTGGATATGAACTGAAAATTTATAACTAGGTACAAAAAATATTACCTTGTTTGCGACAACAAGTAGGGGACGAGGTGGATTCCTTGTCAAAAAACATCGCATACACGTTGGGGTCACCAGACATTGGTCCGTTCTTGGCATTGGGCAGTGGAACGAGAACAGACGTATGTTCGGGCAACCAACGTGAACTCCCCCATGGAACGTCCTACAAAAGTTATTTTGAAGAGAAGATTTTATGAAGTTCGAAAACGGACTGACTCAAAAGGGGTGAAATAAACTATAAATACCATAATCTCGAAACCAGTGAAGATTCCACTGCATTACTAGGTCGTTTTGTAAGAAAAAAGTGCATTACAAATCGGTACTATCACTTTTCCAAACGAACTACATATGACAACACAAACAGCGGTACTAAACAACCAACTACTACAACTCCAAAACCACAAATTCTACTCTTCGTCGAAATTTTGTCCATAGGGATAACACGATGCATAATTATAGATGAAGCTCACATTTGGCGTTGGCGTCGTTAAGCAATGGTTGCTGCCACTTTGTCAGGACGGCTGTTTGCACCAAACCCCTTGCAGTCTTGTAACTGGGGCGATTTGGTGCCCCGATCATGAATATGACATTCATTTCAGGCGCTGGCGTCCATTTCCCGGCGTCTGACCCTCTTACTGAACTTTCGCGATGAGGCTAGGTCTTCGAAGAGAGAGAGATCCAATTCTTTTCTCTCTCTCCCTTCCACCTCAACTCAGCCTTAATCACTAAATGTAAGAGCCCAGAAGAGCAGGAAATACACCACTATGTCAAAAAAGAATGTCGTATCAAAAGTGAATGTCGTAATCAAGACACCAAATAACTCCTCTACGGAAGTTTCCAACAAATTTGGTGAAAACAGCCACCGTGACAAAATGACGCCAACTGGCGCCATGGCCCCAAAAATGAATGTCATTTTCGTAATCAGGGCATCGAATTACCCCTATAGCAAATTACAACGAAAAATGAAATTTTGAGATTTTGGGGTTGTAATGGATGATCAGTGCTCACAGCAGCTGTTAGGTACAACACATTTCGAGGGGGATAAGTGCCACGTTACACATGAGTATTGTGTAAGACATGACCAACATATGTTGATAGTACGTCAAGGCTAGAAGATCTAATCTAATCACCAAAACACAATGATGTATAACTAACCATTAAAGTTTTGATTGGTGTTAGAAGCACATTTCCATCGGCTAGACCAAAAACAACAAAGGTGGCTTCTGGCCCCAAGCAAACCGAAACAGGTTCGACGTATTGGTGGCAAAGTGAATGCCTGTGAGTCAAAGTTCGACGAGGCTTGTCATTTGCGACCTCGCAATATGTCTGCACATCTCCTTGAATGATTCGGCATTAAATGTAGGCACCAAACGGCTATAACTGTAGATTCTGATCGAAGGTTAAAACAGTGGTGGATGATGAGACGAGCTCACCGGAACCAAACAGAAAATATTCGAACACAACGGCCGAAGAATGCAAATTATGGAAATGTTTCGGTCTACAACACGGATACACACTTAAAAAACCCAAAATTAAGTAGTATGGACATAAGACAGTGGAGAGGACTCCCGGGTTAGCGCTCAGGGCCGGTATTCAATCCTTCCCCAGGGGATATATCCCCCTCCTCTGATTCAATCCTCTTTGGGGGGACAAAAAAGGGTTGCGTCATAGGACCTCGCATACCTCTGTGTTTCTACCTGCCAGACAGTTAGAGCAGCGCGACCCCTCAGGGAAAGAGGTGCTTCAGCAGTCGCGCTGCTCCAACTGTCTGGCGATAGAAACACAACACAGAGGTATGGCGGTCCTATGACGCAACCCTTTTTTGTCCCCCCCTCCCCCCAAAGCTGGGGAGGATTGAATCAGAGGAGGGGGACGCATCCCCTGGGGAAAGGATTGGATACGGCCCCAGGAGCTACTACGAATCATCCACGTGGGGAACACTTTCTACCCACTACTAGGAATGGAATCCATGAAAAAATGGCTCAATGAAACCAATAGCAAACTGGCATCAGTCCAGGCTCCATCTGAGTACTAGCATATTTTATAAACACTGATGTCAAAAACATTAAAATTGCAGTTGTCCGAACGTCGGCTTTCCAGAAAACTCAAGAATGAGGAAAGAAGAATAAAGTAAGACTGTGAAGGAATCAGAGTCTGACTAAGGGCAAAATTGCAGAAAGGAAACATCTGAAGGTAAACAAAACGTAGAAAACGGAAAAGAGAAGCAAAATGGTTAAAAATTATCGCTCAAAATTAAGCACACCTTACCGCTTGACGCCAAAAGCACAACAAGAACGAAATTCTCCTCAGATATAAAGGCAAAATCAATGATGGCATGATCCGGACTGAGTTCATCCAGCTGGACTTCACAAGTGTAGGGATTTGCCATCATTCTTTGCTGCTCTGAAATGTAGCATTTAGTCAAAAAAATAATAAAACTCAATAACAACTGTATTATAACTATACACACACCCTTTTTCGAATGGGTTGTATGTGAATGTCGACGACTGTTTACCATTATAATTAATAGATTCGAATACCCGTCGATGAAGACAAAAAGGAGTATCGCCGGTCGAACGAGGAAGTGGAACTAGTGCAAGTGCAGGTCGATGTGCACGTGATACACACGACCTGGTAGACGACACGCCCCGTAATTTCTTCAGAGACCTCGCCGAGGTGAGTGATATTTATACACGGGATAGGATCTCACGGATACGCTCGGACGGAAGAGAACTAGAGAGTGAACTACCGCGCCAGCAGCTAGTCCAGCAGCTTTTTCAGAATCATTTGATAAGTGTTTAGCAAATAAAAATTGCAAATCGCGTTTCCGTCTTGTTTTTCAAAAGACTTCATCGACATTTCTAAGCGCTATCAGATGAGATCAAATCTTTTTACTACCGAATTCTTCCAAAAAAAAACTTTTATAGACGAAAGAGCGATATTTTTAGCTTGATGTGAAGTAATTGGTAAAACGCGCTTCTCGCTCTACTCACCAAAATCAGAGAGATCTCTATAATTTCGTCAATCCCGGAGCCCTGGAGCTGTGGAAAAAAGTCTTTCACGATTCGAATGCGACTAATGACATCAGATGGCTTCGAATCTACAACTACAGGTAAATTGTTGATGGTAAAAACTAGGATGAAACTACAATCTCCTTATTATAAGGTACGTAACGCAGGTAAATGCGATTTTTGATTTACTTGTTGAATTACTTAGTCAATAGTGCGATTCGAAAGTTACTTTGAGCAATTAAGCTCGCTTTCAGCTTCACTTCCCTCGCTTTTGTATAAGAAGAAGAGTGCAGGTAGATGAGAAATTCGCAGCTGCGTTCGCCTGCGCCATGAATCATACAGTTCAGCGCTTCTCATTTCCACAGATCGTCAGATCGGCTCGCCAAATTCGCCTGCAGCTCAAGTTTTTTTATTCTAATAATCTGGAATTGCACTTGCTTTCTTGATATTTCGAACTTATTCTGCGTGGCCAGACGGGACCAGCGTCACGGGGTGCAAGAATCCTTTATAGTATAGGTCCGCCTTGTCTCTCAGGCTTTTTCTTAGTGGGAAACCGGAAAACGATCAATTACATTATAACGATAGCGAAACAGGATTCATTGATGAAATCTGTTTTCTGATTCTATTTTATAAGCACACTGAAAAATTATAGCGATGTCGTCTGTTAAAGACTTGTAACCAAGTAATTTCTCACCGGTTTCACGGACTAGTCATCTGTTTTTCTTCGTAAAACCTTTATAAGACCTCCACAAAATCTAGCAAACATTGCTTTCAATCGCCGTTCAGAAATCCGACCACGAAAACAGGTTTGTTCGGCAACTAGGATCTAGTATAAACCAGTAAACCGACTTGAAAGGCTACGTCAGCAGCTTTTAGCCATATCTCCTATATGATTCTCTGGATGGGTGGGGTTACACAAGAGAAATGCAAAGTGGCAGTGGTCCGGACTCACAGGCGGAAGATCGTTGGACTGTCTTATCAGTTTGCTTTTTCGGCAACGTAACTAGCAAATGGCGAACACTACCATGTACAGGTAAGGTGAGGAGATCCTCAAAGGAATCAGTGAAGGTGAGCAAACATTTCTACTTAGAGATATCCGACCTGCTTTTGATCTCAGCACAATTCCACATGTTTTACTAGCCTTTTCGAATGGCCACATCATGCAGAGTTGGAGAACGTAAATAAACATGGACACAAGAGCAAAGAAAAACAGAGAAAGGTTCAAAAACAAGAAACGGCCGCATGGTTCGATCAGCTCAGACGAATACTTAAATGTAAAGAACTTAATGACCTTCTAAATTATGTTTTTTTCTGCAATAGACAGAAAAAACTGCAGCAATATTAAAGTGCTTCCAGGAAATCTAGTTGAGATTTCTCAGTTATTGAGTTAAAGAAATCGAAACTTCTAAAAGAAAACTGTACCTACCTCATCAGACTGCAGGCGTTTCTGAGAGAGAATAAACAAAGCCGGTAAATAAGGTGGCTCCGAGAGCCCAGACGAAATTTCGGGCTCTTGTGACTAGATTTTTCAGAGGTTGCCATACGTTAAAGGACGCACCTCTAATGACCGCAGAGCAGCATTTGAGCGCACCGGTACCGAACGGTAGGGATGAGAGTATAGCCTTCTTTCAGCGCACAGATTCAGGTTTTGGCATGCATTCCTCTCCAACAATACACTGAGTAACCCTGGATCAAAGAATTAGTAACGAATACTACATATGCGTGATGATCAGGTACTTCCTATATTTGGGTCCATATTTACCATTTACTTGAAGAAGCTGAGGCCGAGTTTACTGTAGGCCTTCCAGTACTTGCAGGACGCTCTCTGTAAATATCTGTCCAAATGTTCGAAATCGATGGTAGAGGAATGGATGAGGACTGTTGGACGCCACACTAGTTTGATTAGGGTTCCACATGGACCAACCTCTGCAGGTATAATATTTCTGTAGAGGGTACCTTGTATGTGATAGTAGGTGACCTAGTGGAATTCCCCGCTTGTCACGTACGCGGAGCTTACGCACAAAGGCATTCGAATCCTTGCGCCGGCGCCGCCGTGGAGTTCCATGAGGTAAGCAAACCAGCCCTTTTGGCGTTTCTGCTGGGGCCGTATGCTGAATGTTGGGGAGGGGATGGGGTCCCCGAGGTCGACGGACTACTTCAACTCGGTCGGTACGGTAGGAGAGTGATGACGAAGTGGTGCAGCTAGGTCCAGCAGCTCCGCCAAAAGGGCTGGTTTGCTTACCCCAGGACTAAGCCTTGGAGAGAGGACGGACCTGCGCTCTCTCGCAGGTCCGTCCTCTCTTTAAGGCTTAGTCCTGAGGTAAGCATCAAATTGAGGCGGTTTTAAGGACCGAGTTGAAGTAGTCCGTCGACCGTCGGGGACCCCATCCCCTCCCCAACATTCAGCATACGGCCCCAGCAGAAACGCCAAAAGGGCTGGTTTGCTTACTTCGTGTACAGCAGTCTACCTTGCTGGTGTGTCCAGTGATTTCTCTCCGGGGTCTCTTCACCAGATGCATTTATTAGGTTCGAAGGAAATCGAGATGTTTTGTTAGCGCTCTTGTTACCGTAATTTTTGCCCACCCTGTATAGTGCCATATTGGTGAACCACTACACAACCCTAAGCATGTTTCCTATAGTGGGCGTTAGTTTTGCTGGCCGCTTTCATGAATAGGAATTTCAACGAGGACGTTCGGAGAGGGCAGGCGAGAAATCCGACGGTATGCTACCTATCAAACTTCCAAAGCTAGCACAGACCTGAACAGCCAAGCATTCCAATTCGGGGGTTGCTGCAGGGACCCTCATAC